GAATATTCTCTGGGAATGTTCTTAGATGATGCTTGGAAGTTTTAGAGGATCATTCTAGGAATATTCCCAATGAATATTCCTAGAATGAATGAAGGGTATATACCATGTATGGTGTTAATTTGGTGTTACAATGGTCATGCAATTTTGAACAGTGTATCAAGAAACCTGTGACGAATGAGTTGACGGTATCTATAGATACCGTCAACCATATATGGTTACCTTTTCATAAAATAGTTCGTTTTAAGTGATTTTTGTTCAAGTTTGATTTATAAATATGTTTTAAGTCATGTCATTCGTGGTTGATTTGAAACTGTACATTTTAGTTGATTTTGCTGTATTTTTATTTCATCTACCTTGTCGGTTTATTGACACCCTGTATCTAGTTTTCTTTCTTAAAGGACTTTATTTCTTCATTTCATCAAATGTTGTTGATTTTATAGCAATTTTTATGATTTTGATCTATTTTTATTTCACCCACAATGCTAGTTTATTTTTTGACACCCTGTATATATCTCACTAAAATAAATCCAAGTTTCAAATTTCGTTAATTTTGCTATATTTTTGGTTTTTGTATTTAATTTTCGTTCTATATCTACATTTCCAGTGTAGTTTTGACACCCTGTATCCATTTTTTTCTTTCTAAAATTACCTTCTTCCTTCATTTGATTCCCATTTATCAAACTTCAATTAAATAAATATATTGTTTCTATAGTTAACAATGCAGCAAAATGTATATAAAGCCTAGTTTAGTTACAAGCATTAAAAGAAATTTGTACTTTTCAAAAAAAAAGTGATTTTCGTTTAAGTTTGCTTGATTTATGAATATTTTTATTTGCAATTAGAAATTTATAATATTTGACTGAAATGTTTGCTATTTTTTCAGTCGTAAACTTAATTTTTTAACGCAATGTATGCATTTTTATCTTATTTTATACAATTTTTTATTATTTATTTCCCAACCTCTAAATGGATTATAAACGCTTTTAAAATTTCAAATAGATATCTTTTTCCGTTCCCCAGAAATTTCTAATGGACCACGAATGTAAAACACCCTGTATATAATAGGAATTTTTAAATGGTGCTTTATTTTTGACTTGATTAGGTATACGTTTTCGTTTTTTAACCACACTGTACGTTATTTTTAAATTTTTAAGATGGCTATGGAATTTAAAAAATAAGCAAAACTTTTTATGAATAATGATTTTTGTACAAAAATGGAAAATAAGAAATTTCACAAGTTGACAATTCCTGAACCAAATTATTTTACAGGTGGCAGCAAAAATTACGAAGGAACAGCTCTAGAGCTGCCTTCGATGCTGCAAATGTTTACAGAAAAAACACTTTTAGTGTTCAGTAATTAAGTTTTTCATCCTTCATGTCGACATCGTAATCAGTTTTTGCCTAATGCATTTTTTTCAAACATTTATCCAGTACCTAATATGTTTACATTTAGCAAATGGACTTTCCTTTGATTTTCATCATACGCTTCCTTTATCAAAAAATCTCGTTTTTCCTAAACATTTTTCCGTAACATCAACCCATTCGCTCTCTGGATGTACAATACACTCAGCAGAACTCGATTAAGTTGGACCATTTAATCAGCTCAATAGTTCAGAAACTTTTTTACTCTTTTTGTATATGTGTGTGTGTATACTGCTTATAAGCAGTGCCGGCTTTAAAAAGACGAGTTTTTTTTAAATTAAATTCAAGTTCCAAAAAGATAAGTTTATCAATTTCGTTGATTTTGACCTGGATACTGCTCTCTAAAAGTGAAACAGTGAAATTTTCACTATTTCCGTCAGTGAGTTATTATTCACTGTGAAATTAGTGTTTTTCAATATAAATTAGTGAAATTTTAACTCCTCCAAATTAGTGTTTTTTATTATCACTACTTTTCCGGAACTCTCGACATAAAATAGTGAAATTTGAACTTTTTTGAACTAAACCTATTTCACTAATTTGTACAGTGTAATTTCCACTAAATAAATTAGTGCAAAGAAATCGCTACATGAGAAAGTGAGTATTCACTAATTGCTAGTGGTATACTTATCACTGCGGCAAATAGTTAATATGCACTGTCAATCAGTGAAAATCCACTGTTTCATTTTTAGAGAGTTCACTATTTGGAAGTAATTCTTTCAAAAAAAATTACAAAGCCGGCACTGCATCGACTGTATTTGCGCCTTTTTTTCTTCTCGACGCTGCAAACAGCTCTCATATATCCGTGCAGGAGCGATGTACTTTTCAGAAAAACGAGCAAAGCCAAAAGCGTCAAAATATAAAAATCGAAACAAACCATTTCCACCATTTTGACGTTGCCGCGCTCTCATTGGCGTTGCTAAGGGCTGTTACCCCCACCTCGACCAATCGCGAAGCCGCATCGCGCACGCGACTCGCCCCATTGGCCGAACCGCGGCCTCCACAGCACACTCACGTCGCGTTGAAAAGTTGTATCTTCCAAGCGAGTAGGACGGAGATGGAGTAGGCTGAGTTCGGTTCGAATGAAGCATAGACAAGACAACAAGGCTATCACAGTAATGTTGTTAAATTCACTTGGTATTTGGCCAAAGCATAAGCTAGACATATTTGGATCTAAGTCAACTGTGTTTCGAAATTTAATTAAATCAGTTACAGATATTAACAATATCATCGCGAGTCGATTGTCTCGCTGATTGAATTTTCTTAAGCGGCTTCTAATCGCGATGATTGGCCGTGCATTCGTTTATTGTGATCAGTTTCACGCGAGTGTTTTGTGAATTCAACTGTTTTAGATACTGAGGTAAGTTTATCAACCATTTTTTAGATTTACATTGTCTTCGCTTCGTTGTTGATTTATCAGGAAAACTGCCCATTTTGGTTGATATTGCTGTACTTTTATTTCATCTACCTTGTTAGTTTACTTTTTGACACCCTGTATCTAGTTTTCTTTCTAAAAGCACTTTCTTCCTTCATTTTATTAAATTTCGTTGATTTTATTTACCCTGTATATATTTCTAAACTGCTTTCTTCCTTCACTTTGATAAATAGGGTTTTCAACTTTCAAATTTAGTTAGTTTTGCTATATTTTTGGTTTACCACCCCGTATTTAATTTTCATTCTTTAGCTACATTGCCAGTTTAGTTTTGACACCCTGTGTCAATTTTTTCCTAAAATTGCCTTCTTCCTTCATTTGATTCCCATTTATCAAACTTCATTTAAATAAATATATTGTTTCTATAGTTAACAATGCGGCGAAATGTATAGAAATGATATGATTGTTGGTCCAGTTTTGTGAAAATATATTAATTTTAAAGTACTTTTCATAAAATAGTTCATTTTTACTGATTTTTGTTCAAATTCGATAGATTTATAAATAATTTTTAAGTCATATCCTTCGTTGTTGATTTATCAAGAAAAATGCCCATTTTATTTGATTTTGCTGTATTTTTATTTCATCTACCTTGTCAGTTTACTTTTTGACACCCTGTATCTAGTTTTCTTTGTAAAAAGACTTTCTTCCTTAATTTTTATCAATTTTCGTTGATTTTGATCTATTTTTATTTCATCCACATTGCTGGTTTAGTTTTTGACACCCTGTATATATTTCTCACTCTTTGCTTTCTTCCTTCACTTTAATAAATAGGGTTTCCAGCTATATTTTTGGTTTACCTACTTCTTATTCTTTAGCTACATTGCCAGTTTAGTTTTGACACCCTGTGTCAATTTTTTCCTAAAATTGCCTACTTCCTTCATTTGATTCCCATTTATCAAACTTCATTTAAATAAATATATTGTTTCTATATATAGTTAACAATGCGGCGAAATGTATAGAAAGCGTGGTTTTTAATAATTAAAACAAATTTGATGATTGTTGGTCCAGTTTTGTGAAAATATATTAAATTTTAAAGTACTTTTCATAAAATAGTTCATTTTTACTGATTTTTGTTCAAGTTCGATGGATTTATAAATATTTTTTAAGTCATGTTCTTCGTTGTTGATTTATCAAGAAAAATGCCCATTTTAGTTGATTTTGCTGTATTTTTATTTCATCTACCTTGTCAGTTTACTTTGTGACACCCTGTATCTAGTTTTATTTCTAAAAGGACTTTTTTCCTTCTTTCATCAAATTTTGTTGATTTAATGCCAATTTTCATGATTTTGATTTATTTTTATTTCACCCACATTGCTAGTTTGACACCCTGTATCTATTTCTCACTCTAAAACTGCTTTATTCCTTCACTTTAATAAATAGGGTTTGTAACTTTCAAATTTCTTTAATTTTGCTTTATTTTTGATATATTTTTTACCACCCTGTATTTAACTTCGTTCTTTAGGTACCTACATTGCCAGTTTAGTTTTGACACCCTGTATCTATTTTTTTCTCTAAAATTGCCTTCTTCCTTCCTAAAGGTATAAAAAGCCTGGTTATAGGAATTAAAACAAATTTGATGATTGTTGAACCAGTTTTGTGAAAATGGAATAATTTTAAATAGGTACCTAGTTGTTTTTTACTAATTTTTGTTGAAGTTTGATTGATTTTTGAATATTTTTATTTGAAATTAGAAGTGTATAATATTTAATTGAAATGTTTGCTATTTTTTGGAGAATTTGTTGATAAAGCAGCTTTTTCACATTTGTTTATGACTTTTATCTTATTTCATTATTTCTTTCCCCCACCTCCTATGATTTTGTCTCCAAACAAAGATTTTGAATTCTTTCAAATTTCCGCGGTATTTCATCCAGATAATTGTCAATTTTTCACAGGTTTCCTATATTTTTATTGTAATTATATTTAAACTAATTTTTTACTTACAATAGTATTTCTTGTTTTAACATTAAATTTTGTTGTTAATATAAAAAATTGTTTCAGATTTGACATCTATAGTGCTCGTGATAGTGTTAGTGACTTTAAGTGAACAATATAGTGACATTAAAAACCGACTTCAGAATAAACAGTGCTTCATCTTTCAAAAAAACTTAATATCCTTCGAACCACAACTCAAAGAGATCTCCAAATCGTTCGTTGACTTACTTCGAAATAATTTCTGGTCTGATGACCACAGACTAACAACCCGTACCACCAACCATCAAGTTGGATTTCAAGGGCGTATCCTCCTGCCTGGGGGCCCTGGGTCAAAACCCTGCCCCCACCTCCAACGCCGCCACAGAGGACCTCTCGCACCAGCAGTTCAACATATTCCCCGCCATTTTCAGCCGCCAGCTCAACTTCAACGCGTGCCCGCAGTCCAAGTCCATGATGGAGGAGCTGAGACCCAACCTGGTCGGCATGGGCAACCTCCTGGGCGTGCAGGGCCTCCTGGACGACCACCACGGCCACCTGACCGGCTCTTCCGGCAGCAGCAACGGGGACAAAGGTGTGGCGAGGAAGTGCAACACCAGCGGCTCTTCCGCCGAGGATTTCACCGCCATTTATGGCGGTCTGCCGCATGCACACGACCACCATGCCCACACCCCCGCCCACACCCCGCCGACGGTGCCCAGAAACCTCACGGATCACAGTGGTAAGTCCAGGTTCTTCTAAACATCTTGTGTACTGTTTATATGAGGTGAAAGGTGCATTATACCCAGATAGCACAGAGACATCTTAAAGATGTCGGACTCGGACGTTTATGACATCCCTAAGACGTCCAGTTTACGACGTAAGTCATCTTTAAGACGTCTTTAAGATATCTAATGTTACAAAACACACCGTCTTTAAGATGTCCTTTTAACGGCATTATTAAGTCGTTGCTAAACGTTGTTAGGACGTCTTTAAGATGTTAAAGACTAACTATTGAAAAAGTCTTGGTTATGCATTGCTACATCGCCAAAACGTTTTTAAGGTATTAAGTAATTAAAATGTAGCTAACAGAGTAGAACACAGTCTACTCTGTGGTAGCTAATAATGTTTTTATTACAAATGGATATTATTAATTGCAGAAAAAATAACCAATCTACAAGAATGTCAGATATATATTTATTCAGTTACCCTAAACATCATCGTTGTCAAAACTTAAAATCCTACATTATAATGTATAGAAACAACATTATAATGTTGTTTCTATTAAAACTAAATAAGATGGTACCTAATTATATCTTACTTGTCAAAATTCACTATTTTATCAAAAAAAAAATAAATAAATAAACGGCGGTATAATGCGTTTATAAGATGTCTTTAGAACATTAAATGAAGATATCTTTAAGACGTCTATCAAAAGACGTCTTTCAAACGTCTTTTTTAGATCTTCAGACGTTTAGTCATAATACAGACATACAAATGACATCTTCAAGACTTTGTGTGCTATCTGGGTATAGATATCGCGCTATATCAATACATACTGCAGTATGTGTTTCGCATAACTTTCTGCGTGTTACCTTTTGCTCTGTGGCACGAGTTCTGGTACACCCTGTATACATGTATATTTTTCCAGTTAATATTGGTAGTTACTAATTGTTATTAGTGCACAATTTTCCCCTAAATTAGATGCCCTTTCACCTGCTATGAACATTCGCATTACGGTTAATCCATGTCAATTATGGGACTTGAGCCCTTTAGGCTGTACATCTGGACAATGCAGGGTCACACAGCGTTATAATCAAGTGTCAATTTCTTTTGTTGTAACAATGGGCAAATGTATTTAGGGACAATAATTGAAAGGGATTTTGAAAAGTGATTTGTGTTTTAAAATGTGTCTGTATTAAAAACTATAGTTTAGTATACTTAGTATACTTATAAGTAAGCCAGGACTTACTCCTGTTTAGGTACAAATTTTCGATGAATTTCAATCGCAAATAACTTTTTTATTTGATTTCGGATTTAAACAAATATTAAAGAATATTGTAGATCGAAAATTTGTGTGGATCGATTATTTTGCCTGTGAGTGTATAAAATTTTATAAAAAATAAAAAAAAACGGTTCTGGGGTACAAATATTTACGTTAAAAATGTCAAATCTTTGGATTTTGGGGTGTCAAAATGTTCTCCATAAATCCGAGATAATCAAAGATCACTAGACCAATGATTGTTATCATCAAAAAGTAAACATATCAAAGGAAACAATTACGGTTTGTTCCCCACAACTATAGCACCATAATCTTGAACAATCCCTTTATCTGGATCTCTATACTTGCAAACCCCACCGCCTAATTGGTCCTTAATAACACGGCTGGACCCGAAATCAGAGGGGCCGAACGAACTACACATGTCATCATTTTCTCTCGATGTTACAATGCGTCAAATTGAGTGTTAAAGGGGAGCAATGCTCCCATTGTCGAAGTACATATGTTGACTGGTAAATTGACACTTCATGAAGACACCGCGGGTGGAAGCTGGAAGTCCATATGCGGAATTGAGTCGCGGCCCCAGTGGGGTGACAAGGAATTAACAGATTTGCCTACACAGGTGCTTGCACTTTGTGTGGGGATTAAGTGATTTTTATTGTGATTGTAATAAAGCTGTTTTTATCGAAAAAATTGTGGTTTTGATTGAGGATTGAGGTTAAATCTGGATTAAAATAATTAATATTAATTTTTTATTATAATTCTAACAATTCTTCTTCTTCTTCTCTGGTTTGATTGGCCTTTCCCTTCCGGGAATTAGCCAGCTGTATTTTATTATTATTATCTGGAGCAAGCGAGTCTAGGATAACCTATAGCTTCTCCTTTTCTTCTTGATTTTATAGTTTATTAATTATTATTATTTTTGTCACTTTTAGATTATTTTTTCATTTATAGTGATTTTATTCTTACAATTATATTGTCAATGAACAGGAGTACCAATTATGAATATTAAAAATACCAACGTAAATATATTGATGCACCGTACCAACATAATCAAATGTTGTAATTTACAACTGTCATTTTTAAGATGGCGCTGGGAACCATAGACACGGTAAAATAGATATTAAACCATAGATCCTAAATTATTCCAGAACAAATTGTTATGTGTATATTACTTAATGTAACTAAATTCAGTAGTTGTAAACAAAATAAATTGTTAAATCGTAATAAAAACTTTCGTTTAGACAGTGCCAGAGAAATGATTTGCGTTCGAAGGAAAACGGTTTCATAGACTCGAGACTCAGCCAGCAGACCTTATTGAATTCATTACTGTTTATTAATGCAGTTAGTACCAACTTAATTATAATTACTGACACCAGCGCGCGCCACAAAGAATCCCATACAATCTTATTACCAACTATTGGCACGAAATGTCACGTTTACTTTTGTGCTGCCGACTAATTTTGCTATTAGAAACCAAAACCATTTTGATTATGTTTAGTTTGTTTTGTGTGTTTTTGATTTAAATGAAATTTTAAAACATCGGTTTCGATATTAAAATACAATGGTGGTTCGTTCTGCATTTGGTTGCAAAAGTTTTATTGACAAGATGTATTTTTTACTTATTTTTCTAAAATCAAAACGAAATAACCATAATTTTGTTAAAGTCGCGGCCAAATTTATATCAACGGCATATGACGTCAGCGTTAAGGTCTATAGAATATATTCATACGTGCCCGGGTTTATAAAGATGGAGTTATACATTATAACATGTTATAATCTTCTACAACAAGTCTTGTAACATTGTTTGCACAATCCAGTGGTAGAATATGTTCTTTTTTTTATCTGGACTCGTGTTTTTTTGTTAAATTGGTGGCTTATGCCAGTTTGACTTATTATTTTTAGTATTTAAAAATGGTACGTCTGTTAAAAAATTTAATTAAATATTTTGTCACTGTCAAATTGACAATAATATTTATTTTTGACTATTTCCCTCGTCTTAATTTCCACCAATCACAAACGCGCAATTTTGAATTACAAATGGTTTCTAGGTGAAAAAACTGTGTGACAGCACCTGTCAGCAGTTTTTTCAAGTTTACCCGAGGCAAAACTTGACAGCTGTTGTCACCAAAAATTGCAATTTATATTTTAATTGTTAACTGTTACTCATGAAATAGTCTTGTCAAATACCATTCGGGCATCTAATTTTTCCTGTGAAAAAAAAATCGAAAAAACACAATGCTAGGTAATATTTTTTAACAAAAAGCATTCGTGCAGGTGCAAAAATCCTCCTCTTTGACTCGGATTTTTGTTGCCACCAGCACTCATGCTTTTTGTTAAAATATTACTTAGCAACGTGTTTTTTCGATTTTTTTCGGAAAAATTAGATGATATTACTTACGATAATTTACTTGTCAATTATAAATAAAAAGATAATTATGCCAAAAATAATAGCAACGAATTCGAATGTAAAAGCCCTTTTGAGGGCAAAACTTCACTTTGATGAAATTATGCCAAATGCCACAATGGAAGAAAAAGTACATCGCCTTATGGACATTTTTGGAGTAAAAAAGTAACGAATTTGGTTTTATAAATATTAAATCACACATTATTTTCACATTATTCACCATTGGACAACATTTACGTTCACAAAAAATTTTAATTTCTTTTATATAAATTATTTTCAAAGCGAAGATTATTATCCGCTAGGAATACTTTCTCTTCTGGACCGTAAAGCAAACTATATTTAACTACTTTTTTATATGATTTTACTCATCCAACCACCACCAAAGCCAAATGAATTGCATTTTTAACTACGAATTTCGACAACTCAACTTGACAACTGCACAATGTAACCTACAATAATTTATACATAACCACAATTAGATTTATAACTGGCTTAGTTTGTTTTAATCAATGCGACCAACTTGACAACTGTATGTACCAACCAAAACCCTAAATTTACAACATTATTTATAATAATGTATGATAATAATCTGCAACAAACGCCAAAATGTCAAAATTACAAAAAAAACGCGCCAGCCTTAAGATAATTATGATAATTCAAATGGCACACATAAAAATTACCAAGTGAATGGTTTTATTTTTATAATTTTGTAACAAAAAAGACACCCTGCATAAAAAAGTCTCATTACGTTTATTTTGGACGACCTCTTCTTCTAGCCACCTTGACCCAAGGTGCCTAGTAGACCGGGTCGTCTCTTAACATTGGCACCAAGGTACCTATCCGACTAGGTCGCCTCGTAACGTACTTCTCCGATTTCGTTCTAGACGGCGCGTTCAAGAAGCTGAAGCCGGAGCCGCAGAGCACGGGCAGCAGCAGCATAGGCACCGTGTCGCCTGGGGCGCCGCAGCACGCGGGGCACACGCCTACGACGGCCTCGTGCCCCACCCCCGCCCGACGAAGGCACCGCACGACCTTCACGCAGGAGCAGCTGGCGGAGCTGGAAGCGGCCTTCGCGAAGAGTCACTATCCAGATATTTACTGTCGAGAGGAGCTGGCCAGGAGTACGAAGCTGAACGAAGCTAGGATACAAGTAAGTCAAGATACTTTTTATACGCTTTTTGTCGCCGGGTCATGCCACACGCCCAATTTAGGCTAGTGGATTGCGGGACAAGAAGGGAAAACTCGTTGGTTTTTGGAGGACACTGAACTGACCCAAAACTAGGTACAATCCGGAATCCCCCTCAACCAGGGGTTTAGTAATACACCCATCCAATTTTGGTTCATGAATGAGGCTTGGTAGTTGGTCTTGTAGTACTTTCCATTTGTTTTCAGTAGTCGGCTATGTAACTATCGATAGTATTTGTATTTTCATTTGTTTTTCTAACAATAAGGTCCCATTTATTTATAAAGTTAAACAAATGGTTAGCGCAATTATTCTATTATACCTACTATTTTAGGCTCCCAGAAGACTACTACTATTGTTCGATAGATTGGGGTGTAGAGTGGTTTATTTGTTTATGTTTATGTTAGACGATCAGACATTGGTTTCTAGTGTTACCTATACTTACAGATTTTTGGGTTTATTAACTTTCGACTCACGTCCTTTGGTGGATATGCTTGTTTTTATTTTTAAGTCGAACTTGCTTTGCAGTATAGGCAAATATATTATTATATTATATGTATTTTTTATTATGGTAAAATTAACTTTGTTTGTAGATTTGTAGATAAATAATGATTTGTTAACTCCTTTAGGTATATAGTAAGTTGAAAAAAGTCTATATTTTTTAAAATAATCTCTTTAGGCTCCATTATCACCCAAAACTCACAACATATAGGTTTATTATAAACCTATATCTCAGTTATTAGACATGGGACCCACATCAAATTTATGTGAGTCCACAATGACATTATAGAGACAAGTTCTGCGCAAGCAGAATTTAAATTGAAGTTTGCGAAAATAAGTTAGTTTTTAAGTGTACCTCCCAGCCTCTTGCCCCCCCAAATTAAGATAATTCAAATTAAAGTGGTACAATATTTAATTCACTGAAGTTTATCCACAAATTTCAATTTTTATTAAAAAATTTCTAGAATTAAAGGTTTTATAACATTTTAAATTTTTATTATTTCTTTTACTAAATTAAAAAAAAAATAGAAATGGTATAAAATCTGTAATACTTGAATTTTTTTAATAAAATTTGAAATTTGTCGACAAACTTCAGTGAATTAAATATTGTACCACTTTAATTTGAATTATCTTAATTTGGGGGGGCAAGAGGCTGGGAGGTACACTAAAAAACTAACTTATTTTCGCAAACTTCAATTCAGCCGCCACTGGGTTTATACATATGAACAGCTGTATTTAAACTAATTTTTCTATGCAGGTAACAATGAAAACTGCAAAACCATCACTTTTTTAACCAATTTATTAATTTACGTTAATTTACCAAAGCTTTGGTTAATTTACGAAAAAGAAATATCAAAAGTTAAACTAAACCAAAATATGTTTAAAAAAATAACTAATTTTAACCATTTTCAAAGGTTAAAAAACCGTTATTTTACTTAAATTTTGGTTTATTTACTTAGAATGTTAGTTATTTAACCAGGGGCTAAGTAATAAAACGTCAAATTTATCGAAATAAGCATGTTCCGCCATGAAGTCTTTATTTGAAAAATAATCCTTTATAGTCCGCAAAAAAAATAAAAATAAGTCACCCCCTACTTTTCTCTACGGTTAAGGGGACCGCCGACTTGGTTAGATCTTTGATTGAATTAGGCGTTCGTTAGACTGTATGTGGATTCGATGGGGTCCGTTGAGACGCACAACTGTCACTATTTCTAGACGCGTTATTGCGTCCCTTTTAGCCGTAGCCCGAGACCGCGTTTCTCTGCTTTGCTTTGCCACGTTGAAATGACTCATGCATTAGAGGACCCTTGCCATTTTTTTTTCAACGTAGATTGACTGCTCTAGGCAATATCAAAGAAGTTCTTGATTGATTCAAGGAGACGTTTTAAATGAATATTTAATGAAACGTGTATTATATTATTTTTTAAATTTTCGATTGATAATTGTGTCGTATAGAACATGTCACGTATCATACCAATTGTTACATAGTTAACAATTTTACAAAGATTTTTAAATTTCTTAAAGGCCACTTATTCTAATGCTAATAATTTAATCTAAAAAACTATTTGCTCTTAATATCCCTATTGATCCTATAATGGTTTTATAATACTCTCGACAAACTAATTTGCGTTTCATTAAGAATATTTTAAAGCTATAAGGTTTTAATTTTGTCAACTTGGTTAAAATATTTTTGACCACTTTATTAAAACTAATTCTACCCCCTCCACATTCGGATAAAGCCTTCTTCGCAATAAGCTAATTTAGTGAACCAGTGCAGTTCGTGTATCCACTTTATAAGCACTGAAAAAAAATGCCCTTAAACAAAAGTATACTATAGTAAACTCTCTTGATAAAAATTATTAGCGGCAAGAAACAATATTTTAGCATAAAACATAAGAGAGTATATATTTATTGCTTGAAGAAAAAAGTTATTAGTGGAAAAAGTATAGTTCTATTGAAAACAAATCCAAAATCTCTTGAATGTTTCTTCTTTCAACCAAGTGCAAAGGATTTTTGTTCAAAAGCTATGAAAATTATTCATATTTACGCAATTCATTCAAGATTCACAATTATCCCAATAGCATGTCAATTTTCTAACAAAATCTGGTAGCTTCTGATACATGGGAGGGTGTGCAAAACACGCACACCGTTTGCGGCACACGTGTTTAGTACGTTTTGTATCATTGCAACTTGCAATTCGCCATCATTAAAACTCTTTTTAAATAAATGAAATTTAATTAATTTGTTTAATGTTTTTGAAGGTGGTATCAAATATGCAATAAAAATGTCTTGTATTTAAATATTTTTTTTGTAAGTCAATCTTCTAGTTTTCAAAAATGCCAATAGTATATGCTTTTGTAGCAATGTCTTCTGAAGATATATTTTTAGTTCTTGTACACTGTTTAAAATAATCTTAAAATGGAGTCAAAATTCAACACCAAGTGGTGTTAATATAACACCATGAATTATGGTTGAAAATGTTTTATACAGCAAACTCTAAAACGGTGTTTATCTAAAAATATTTGAGAAGTGCACCTACACAGAAAAAAAGGAATAGTTCATTTAACTATATTAAACAAAGATTAGTTTGACGGTACTAAACCAGATAGTTATTTTATTTTTTTTAAATTGGTTAAATTAACCCAGAAAACTTTAGTGAAACCAACCCGCTGTATGGTTCAGTTTACTAAATATGTTGTTTGTAAAATAAGAGTTACGTCAACCTAAAGCTGTCTGTTAAAACGATTAAAACAATTTGCCGTGCATTCCTTGTTGCATAGTGTGTACCGAACGCGGTAAAGGCGGTGTGGATCACGTGATGTTCTTAAATCTCGCCTCTGTTGACTTACATGAAGAGTATATAAGCTCAGGTAGTCCTTTGCTTTGGTGTGACACTACAAGTTGTTCGATACTAAAGAGACCTTAAATAGGTGGAAACAGCTGTCAATATTTGAAGTATTTTAAGTTGGTGGAAAGCATTAAAAACATTATCTCTAGCGAGTTGAAGGTTCAATTTTTTGGAATAATACCACTGGTAATATACTTGTAATGCGTCAAGGAACTTCCTGTTTTCTTTTTATACTGTGTGAAAGTTAAATTTACACCATTTTAGTATTCGAATTTACACTGGACCAACGAACCTTATTTAACACCATTTTGGTTTGTATCGATATAGACCATGTATGGTGTTAATTTGGTGTTAAAATGGTCATTAAATTTTGAACAGTGTATAAATCGCTTGCTTTTGATTTAAGCTAATATTGTAATATCTTCAAGTAATTAAAAAAATTATTTAAAGATTGTTTCTGATTTAGATTAAGAAAAGCGATACAAAGTGATTTTCATTTTTTAAAAGATTTTTTTTTTCAAATATATTTGATTCAGAATTTTTCATGGGAATATCAGTTTTTATGAAGAATGACTTTTTAAATGTTAAAATTAGTCGGCAACTAAATCTAGAGGCCACATGAAACCATCCCGAAAAATTGCAAATGAGAAAGTAGAGATCGGTTCGGCCATTTAGAAGGAAAAACAAGTCAACTCAACGGTATATCATCATAAGGATTTTAATTTAAGTGAACCTAATAACAATTAGGTTATTAAATGATGAATATTTGATGAGGAGTTAAGCAAAGGCGGTTTCGCAGTGGAGGGAAAAAGGGCCGCGAAACGAACGAGTCCGAATTAAAATTCATACGTTGAACGGGCGCCGCGACGCCGTGTTGCATGCAGCCGAGGAAAGGTTTTCCCTGAATTTTAAAACAGACCGACCAGCTTATTTCACTCCCGCTTTTGCGCTCTTTTCCACCATCCAGTCTCTCTTCGGTCTGGATCTTTTTACTGTCCGCATTTTTATCCAATGAGCCATGACCCTGATACAAAGTAACGCAATTCATAAAATAACTTAAAATTTGATAAATCGGAAATGTCTAGAAAATTGTATTTTTGCAGAATTAAAAAATACCAATTTATATTTTGTTAAAATAATAGTATTTAATAGTAATGTAATACTATACTTTATCTTCTTCAATACTATTTGTTAACCTCACTTTTTACCAATTTTAAATGTTATTATAGTCGAATTCTCCCGATTTAAAACCCACAGTGAATATATACAGGGTGAGTTTTAAGTTGACGCGTTCCTTTTAACAGCGTGTAGAAATCAGATAAACAAATAAATATTTTAAGTAACTTTTTTATCAAAACTCAAAAATAAGAGACAGGGCCGGCTCCAGGGTACGTGCAGCCGTGCCCCTGCACGGGGCGGCAAAAATCGAAGGGCGGCAAAAATTAAAGAGGTGCACAAATCGAATGGCGGCAAAATTCGAAGGGCGTCAAAAATCGAAAGGCGGCAAAAAGTTATCGTACTATTATTTCCCATTTTTAAATAATAAAGCGGCTTTCTTTATAATATAGCCCACAAAGGATCAATGGCACGCGCCGCAATGTGCGATTTCTTTTGATTT